GCCTCAACTTCAGACCTTGTTATTGGTCTATTCAGGAATTCAATTTCTTCCTGGTTTAGTCTTGGGAAGGTGTAAGTGTCCAGGAATTTATCCACTTCTTCTAGAATTACTGATGTACTTGCATAAACGTGTTTGCAGTAATCTCTGACGGTAGTTTGTATTTCTGTGGGATCAGTGGTGATATCCCCTTTGTCATTTTATACTGCATCTATTTGAATCTTCTCTGTTTTCTGTTTTATTGGTCTGGCTAGCAGTCTATCTATTTTGTTGATCTTTTCAAAGAAACAGCTCCTGGATTTATTGATTTTTGAAGCGTTTTTTGGATCTCTCTCTCCTTCAGTTCTGTTTGATCTTAGTTATTTCTCGCCTTCTGCTAGCTTTTGAATTTGTTTGATCTTCCTCCTCTACTTCTTTTAATTGTGACATTAGGGTGTCAATTTTATATCTTTCGTTACTTCTCTTGTGGGCATTTAGTGCTATAAGTTTCCCTCTAGACACTGCTTTAAATGTGTCCCAGAAATTCTGGTATGTTGTGTCTTCATTCTTATAGGTTTTGAAGATCTTTATTTCTGCATTCATTTTATTATTTATCCAGTAGTCATTCAGGAGCAGGTTGTTTAGCTTCCATGTAGTTCTGTGGTTTTGAGTGAATTTCTTAATCCTGAGTTCTAATTTGATTGCGCTGTGTTCTGAGAGACTGGTTGTTATGATTTCTGTTCTTTTGCATTTGCTGAGGAGTGTTTTACTTACAATTATGTGGTCAATTTTAGAATAAGTGCGACATGGTTCTGAGAAGAATGATATTCTGTGTATTTGGGGTGGAGAGCTCTGTAGATGTCTATTAGGTCCACTTGGTCCAGATCTGAGTTCAAGTCCTGGATATCCTTGTTAATGTTCTGTCTCGTTGATCTGTCTAGTATTGACAGTGTGATGTTGAAGTCTCCCACTATTATTGTGTCGGAGTCTAAGTCTCTTTGTAGGTCATTAAGAAATTGCTTTACATATCTGGGTGCTCCTGTATTGGGTGCATATATACTTAGGATAGTTAGCTCTTTTTGTTGCATTAATTCCTTTACCATTATGTAATGCCCTTCTTTGTCTCTTTTGATCTTTGTTGGTTTAAAGTCTGTTTTATCAGAGACTAGGATACAAAAAGCAACCCCTGCTTTTTTTGTTTGATTCTCCATTTGCTTGGTAAATCTTCCTCCATCCCTTTATTTTGAGGCTATGTGTGTCTTTGCATGTGAAATGGGTTTTCTGAATACAGTACATCGATGGAGCTTGACTTTTTATCCAATCTGCCAGCCTGTGTCTTTTGATTGGGGGTATTTAACCCATTTACATTTAAAATTAATATTGTTATATGTGAATTTGATCCTGCCATTTTGGTGCTAGCTGGTTGTTTTGCCCGTTAGTTGATGCAGTTTCTTCATGGTGTCGATGGTCTTTACAGTTTGGTAGGTTTTTGCAGTGACAGCTACTGGTTGTTCATTTCCATGTTCAGTGCTTCCTTTAGGGGCTCTTGTAGGGCAGGCCTGGTGGTAATGAAAGCAGTTACTTATCCATAAAGGATTTTACTTCTCCTTTGCTTATCAAGCTTACTTTGGCTGGATATGAAATTCCAAGTTGAAAATTCTTTTATTTCAGGATGTTGAATATTGGCCCCCACTCTCTTCTGGGTTGTAGGGTTTCTGCCGAGAGATCTGCTGTGAGTCTGATGGGCTTTCCTTTGTGGGTAACCAACCTTTCCCTCTGGCTGCCCTTAGCATTTTTTTTCTTCATTTCAACCCTGGTGAATCTGATGATTATGTGTGATGGCAGTTTTAGATCCACACAGGAAAGTGTTCTCAATTCCATAGCTTGGGAGGGAACCATTCTAACTCCAGATTGTCAAGACAGTAAAATTATTTCCCTTTAGATGTCTTTGTTTTGATATTGGCAAGAGAAGAGTCACCACATTTCTTAAAGGACACTTCGTTTTTGCTCTCCCATTTTTGGTAAAAAATAGTTGATGAAAGATTTATCCTCCACTCCAGATGAAATTATACTATAATCATAACTACCTGAAGTGGAAAATCACTGGATACCATGTTTTTAAACTGTATAGATTATTGAACATAGTGTCTTAAATTTGTTATTCCTATAAGATCCTTGACTATTGTTGCTCTCTATTGAAGAGTTTCAATATTTTTTGATAAATTCTCAAAAGACATGAGCACACCTGTCTTTACTCACTTTTAACACAGTTAGTGTGATTGCTTTCTCCTTGGATCATCTGAAAGATTCATTAAGATATGAATAACTTACTTTCATAAATTCATTTGCTTTAGTCTTTCAGTTTTCTTCACATTTTTTGTAAACATCTTAAACATTTTCACTTTCGAAGAAGTAAAATGTTCTTAACATTTTTTTTTTTTTTTTTGAGATGAAGTCTCACCCTGTCACCCAAGCTGGAGTGCAATGGCACCATCTTGGCTCACTACAACCTCTGCCTGCTGGGTTCAAGTGATTCTTCCACCCCAACCTCCCAAATAGCAGGGACTACAGGCATGCGCTACCATGCCTGGCTAAATTTTTGTATTTTTAGTACAGACAGATTTTCACCATATTGGCCAGGCTGGTCTTGAACTCCTGATCTCAAGTGATCCACCCGCCTCAGCCTCCCAAAGTGCTGGGATTACAAGCATGAGCCACTGAGCCCAGCCCAACATTTTTTTTCTTATTCAACAATTTGATTAGGGGATTTTTTTCTAGAATTTCACGTTTGGTGTATTCCTATTCATATTCCATGTATAAGTGTATTTGATGTGTTCAAAACACGATTTCCAGTGAAAGAAAAGATACCACAGTGATACTACAGATATTGGCATGGCATTTTGTGAAACTGTGCAAATTATTTCATCTCTTATCATTGGCTGATCTGTTACAGCCTGAGAGGTTGAAACATAAAGAGAATGTGGCTTGTATTAAGCTACACAATTAGAACTGATGCTAGGAATGGACTCTGCCTCCTGGCTCCTGATTCAGTGCATTTTTCACTGGAAAGTGGACAACTCATGATGTTCATGACCTAGTTCATGTTGGCTGTTGTCCAAACTTGGTGGTCAAAACCAGGACAGGGTCTATGGAAAACTACTATTGCCTATTCTGTTACCAATTTAATAAAAAGAGTATTGGAATGTGTGGGTATTTTCTGATATTTTTGGTAAGGCATGCTATCTCTTATCTCATAGGTCAAGTTACAGGAAATAAAGCACTTGAAAACATAAGATGATGATAGCATTGGTTTTATAGTCCTGTAAAAACCAGTAGTGGTTGCTGAGTATGGCATTCATTGTGAACTCAAAGCTAAATGAGAAGCAAAAAGAAGTCAATTAGGAGACTTGAAACCCACAGAAAATTGTAGGGAGAGACTGATGATTATATAACTATGATACTTTGTCCTTACAACAGAATAAGACAATTAGAGGTGAGAAAGAAGTTTTTAATAAACAAAATTAAAAATGAAAGGTGAGAAGGTGTTTCTAAATATTATGGGTGGGTAGTTTTAAATGTCAATAAAACTATTTTCTGTTACTCTCCACATGATGTGGAGAGTAACAGAAAATAGTTTTATATGGGAGGAGTTTTTTAAAAAATTGACATTTTAAAGAAATGTCTTAAATGGGTGACTATTAAAATGCAAAAATAGACAGAAAGAAGACATTTTGAAGACTGTATTTCAGTAGTATCCTAAGAGGCAGATAATGAATGACTCAGATAATCTGAGAGGTTTGGGCTGACTCACATGTTTTGGAAGAACGTATCATCAACTCACTGATTCTGTCGTTGTTTCTCCCTTTGTTCCACCTGGTAGTGCCAAACAAATCTGAAATACCAGTGACTCTCAGATCCATTTTCTCAAGAAGACTTTCCAAACCACCAATAACAAGTCTAAAGCTTGAATATATAAGCATTTAGTATATTTGAATAATAAAACAGAAGCACAAGCCATGTCTGTAACTATGGAACATGTAGGGGATGGGAAACCCAAACAGCCTTGACAGGATAAGTACAGAAGAAGCAAGACTGTGCTTGGCTTGTCAGGTTGGAAGAAAAGGGCTTTCTTAGTCAGTGCTGTTTGAATGGTGCTTCCTGGAAGATATTTTAAATCACAAATATTATCTAGACTTATAAATGAGGGAGCCTTGGCCTTTGTTCAAGAAAGGATCTCAGCCTACTAGGGCAATTGACATAGGAACGAATAGGTGGTACCTATATAGGTGATATATCATAATACATATAAGAGCAACATTTTGAGGGGAGCACAGAATAGTCAGTGTCTTATGCCTCTAGGTTTGAGAGGCCTTACAGAAGGAATGGCATTTAGCCTGGGCCTTAAGGGATGAGTTGAAATTCTAAATGTCCACAAAATAGGGAAAGCATTTCAACCACAAGAAAGGACCACACAAGAGAGAAAGAGATACTGAAGTGCAAATGTCGGGGTGTGTTCAGAGTATGGTTAATAATTCAGTGCAGACACAGACTGGAGGAAGTAGTAAAAGATAAGATGGGACTAAGGGACACAAAGATGTGTCATATCTGTACAATTCTCTTGATATGGGTCACATGATCTGTATCTTGGCATTATCTCAGTCCAAAGAATATGTCTAACCTGAAAATGGCTATTCTTCTAAATCTGCGATTTGGCTTCTTGGCAGAACCCCAGTTTGGGTGATGAATAACAGTAGTCTAAGAAAAATTTGCAATCTTTTCTGTACCCAGGCATCCTTATGTTGCTAATATGCTAAGAATTTATAGTGTGAAGTCCTTGATAAATATCTATTGAAAAATGTAATAATGAATCCTATGAACATGCAAACACACATAGCTATACATAGAACTTAAGAAACATCATTGCTTTTTGAACATTAAAGTCTAAATGGTGTATTACAACTTTCAAAATATGTTCACTTGAATGTTGCTGAGTTTTTGACCCTTTGCTGTTTTCCCACAGGATTGAAAAAACGTACAAGGAAGGCCTTTGGAATACGGAAGAAAGAAAAGGACACTGATTCTACGTGAGTGCTTTAGCAGTTTGCCACCTCAAAGAAGCTATTTGCATAAGAGATGCTTTGTCACATTCAATATAAGATTGTCGCACAGTTTTCTCGGATATTGTATACTATTTGCTTTCCCCATTTCTGAGTAAATTGTAATTATTCAATATAAACAGTTTTTAGATTTATGCTAAAATGGTAAAAATTTTTCAAGTGTTCAGTGTTTTTATCATGTTTCTTTCTTTTTTTTCCCCTTTGGATCATCATACTTCCCAGCAGTTTCAGGAGGCAGAAAATGTGATTGTTACTTTTGTGAAGGATAAAAAGAATTCATTTTCACATATAGGGTTGACCCTACAATCTGAACTAAAGAAACAACAAAACACCTGTTTGGATAGATTAGACCCAGCCAGAAACAGAAATGTAGACTAGAGAACATCTCAAATGTCTTACCTGAGATGCCGAGATTTTGTACAAGCTGAATTGTAAATCAGCAGAATTCAGGAATGATTGATTATTTGGCAGTGAACAAGAAGCAAATGCCAGAAAAAACTATGGGGGTGCTTTTACATGTTTAAATGATCATGTTCAAGGGAATTAATTGCCCACAGACACTGATAGACCCTGAAAATGTCCAATGACATAACAGTTTTTTTTTTCCCTCTAACTTCCTTCCACTTATTTGACCATCTTGAATTCTCCTGCAGAAGTATTTGGCTCTGACACAAAATCTCAGATGCCTTTTGGAGCCAAGCAGGTAACTTAAATACGTGAAGTCCACTGGCCAGGAACTTAAGACTGCAGCACAAGACCAGTGTAAGGAGAACACAACTATCCAGCTACAGGTGGTTGTGACCAGGTAGATATGCAGATCTGGTGTAGTTTGTCGTACATCAGAATTGAGACCATTATACCCTTCATTTGGCTAGAATCTCTGAAAGAAAGTTAGAAAATGGGAAAAGCAATAGTTGTTTGGGTACAGGTGAACATCAAGAAAGCCACATTCTCACCTTTAGCTTTTCATTCTGTATCTCTTTATCATGCCTAAATTTTATCACAAGATGCCGAGTATTTCCCTGGGCCCTTGTCCTTTGAGAGTTTATGATTCATGAGATGAAATATCTACTACACAAATTAAAGTATTATTTATACAACTAATGTGGTAACATATTTGAAATGCCTAATATGGTATCTAATACTTAGTAAATGCTCAGCAAATGGCAGCTGCTGGTACTTTTCATATTACTGATACAAATTAATACGTGGTAAGCTCCTTACAAGCAACTAAGATGGGATTTCATGGGAATCTGAGGGTGAAAAAGCTCATATTTGGACTGATGATAAGTGACACTTCAGGGAGGGAGGAGACTCGAGCTCGGCCTTCAAGATGAGGATGTATATTTTATGCAAAGGGAACAACAAAAGCAAAAGCAGAAAAGTAGAAAAGTCCACTAGGCATATACCGACAAGACAAATGGGCAGTTTGTCTACTTGGGGGTTACAGGTAAAGGTGACAATGGAAGGCAAGGCTGGAAAGGAGACCAGTTCCAGATAGGAAGGGCCTTAAGTAGCAGGCTGAGGTGTGTGGGCTACTCCCATAGGCAGTGGGCCACCTTGAAACCTTGAAAGTTTTTAAGCCAAAGAGTATAAAGGATTGGGGGAACAAAGTTATTTTTGTCTAGATGCCAAATATTAAGTTCTTATATTTTCTTTGTGCAATTTCTTTTGTAACTATTTATTTCATGGAAATTACATTTGCTGGAATTTCATGGAAATTACTGTTGTCCTGCAAATTTTTTCCAATAATTAAGTTAGGAATATTTTTCTGAGGATTATACAATTTACATTGTTTCTTAAGAAGTTTGCCATTTTCTAAACATTTGCCACTCAGGCTATACGGTAGTGCCGTCACTAGCTGAGGAGATCGGGCTGTAGTCCCAGCACTGCCAGAACTCCATGGCTTTGGGAATTACCCTTTTCCTTGCTGGGCCTCAGTTTCCACCCCTGTAAACAACAACAAAGAAATTTGCACAGATGGAATCTAATTTCTCTAAAGGGCCAGACGCTATACGAGTCGTATAAGGGAAGGCATTATAGGATCGTATAGTGACCACCTGCAATGTGCTAGGTGTTGTGGGGGATGCTACTCGATGGATCTCAGGAGAACATCATTAACAGAAACCAAATCCATTTCTGAATGAAGATGATGTCTGTAACTGACTGCACCAGAGATTTCTGGTATGTGAGGAAAGTTAGGAAAAAAATCTCTTGACAGAGAAAAGAGGTTGAACAACCTCTCTGGGGCAGGCTGAACTAATTTACAAATGGCTAAAGCACTGCTCTTCCATCACTGTTTCTCAAGTTATGAAAATAACTGAGTGATTCCTCACGGCTATCTGATGCACTCTAACGAGACATTTGTTTATAGAATCCCAAGTGTCCTTCCTTAACTTTTTATCATTTGAGCGTCCCAAATTACTTACGTGGTAGCAAAACAGATGTAAGCTGGTTCCACCATCAGTGATGGTCAAAGGACAAGCTGTTTAGTATGTTTAATATAAGCCTTTGCTTTTTATGAACTCCCTAATGCTTTCATTAACTCTCTAATTGGATCACATATCATTCTTGGAAAAGAAATCAGGATAAATGCAAAGGGGTTGGGAAAGTGCTCTAGCAATTTGCTGTCCCTTCAGCTTTAGTAAATGCTTGTGTTTGTCTGCGATCACTGAAGCCTTGTTGATGCAAACTGTTTACAGCGCTGTTACGACTCACTATGGGTTGCTAAGCAACCTCCTAGCGTAGACACCAGCACCAACTTCAGCTGATTGAACCTCCTTAGATATACAGTGGGGTTAGGACCAGAGCTTTCTGATTTAATCATCATTACAGCAGCTGATAGAAAGAGGAAGGGAGAGAGATTGTGCTAAGTGGCAGGCCTTGTGTAGGACATATGTTGCACTAGTAACATTTTTAGTCTTCCCAGTAATTCAATAAGGTTAGTAGTATTACATCAATTTTAAGGATGAGATATCAGTGCCAAAAGGGGTTAAGTAACATTTTGAAGGCTACCCAAAAACTGAGACTTGGAGCCCATATCCTAGTCTAAAATCCAATGTCTGTGCTTTCATCACCCAAAAGAGAAAACGTCAATGGGTAGAATTAAAATCCAGACAGACAGGAGGGTTAAAAAAAAAAAAAAAAAAAAAAGACAGTAGTTACAAAAGGTAACTGAAACTTTAAAATAGATGCCAAAAGTCCATGGTAGATGATTCTTTTGTGTGTGTGTGTGTATATTTGGAATTAAAATATTAATACTTCATTAGTAGTTTTTTAAATGTATATTTTATTGCATTTTAGGGATCCTTTTAAAAATAGAAATCAGCAAATACAGTAAGTCTGCCAAGAAAAAATTCATTTTAAAATACAACATAAAACCTCATTAGAGGGGGTTAGGAAGTGAAATTAGAATGTATGCCCAAGTGTCTGAGGCTGCTAAAATCTCTTCACTCCCTGTCCTGGGTCATATTGCATAAAAATTATTATTCTAGAAAACACTTAGTAAGCATTTACTATGTCCTAGGTACTGTTTCAGGTTCTTCATTTACGTCAGCTCATTGCATCCTCTAATAGCTCTGTGTGGTATATATGCTGTTATGATGGCTATTTTATAGATGAGGAAACTGAGAAACAAAGAAGTGAAGTAACTTGCCCAAGTTTCTGCAGCTAAGAGATCTATATTGGTTGATCCCAGGTAGTCTGGCACTGGAGCCAGTACCCTTAGCCACCATGCTCACTGATTCCTTAGGACACATGAGCCACATTTCCATCAGTAGAGAAGACAAAGGATCAGAATAGGACTCCAATGCTGCTATACAATCACAATTTCTCTGATTAAAAATTGTTAAGACCATCCCAACAGCTGCAATCAGCATGAGATCGATGCCTCCCATTTAAGATCCCCTACTGATAAGACCTTATACCTGAATCCACAGTGGACACCACCACAGCCAGGCCAATCTCTGAGCTTCTGGCGCATCTATTTCTTGTTGTTCCCAAAGGATCCCCACATGGATCAGTGACTCTGAACACATCCTACCCAAAAGTTAATGCAGTCTCCTCTCTCTCAGCTCTGCTAGCAGAGGTTGAAGTCCTAGTAAGAAATACTCATATATATAGATATTAAGTCCTAGTAAGTTGAAGTCCTAGTAAGAAATACTCAGTATGTTGGCCAGGCACAGTGGCTCATGCCTGTAATCCCAGCACTTTGGGAAGCTGAGGTAGGTGGATCACCTGAGGTCAGGAGTTCAAGACCAGCCTGGCTAACATAGTGAAACCACTTCTCTACTAAAAATACAGAATTAGCTAGGCATAGTGGCTTATGCCTGTAATCCCAGCTACTTTGGAAACTGAGGCAGAAGAATCACTTGAACCTGGGAGGCAGAGGTTGCAGTGAGGCAAGATTGCACCATTACATTCCAGCCTGGGTGACAAGAGCAAAACTCCATCTCAGAAAAAAAGAGAAAGACATACTCAGTATACAGATATAAAAAGAGAATTGGTTTTGATGAGTATGGATTGGTACCTATCCTCAGTGCCCTCCTTCTACCCTGGGCTTACTATGACCATGATAACCCACTGGATTTACTAGCCAACTTTATTCTCTTTGCGACGAACGTGTCTTCATTATTTTTATCTCTTGGTCCTAACCAAGCACTTAGTTCATTACAAGCACTTTTGTCAGCCAAGATTCTTCCTATCGTTCTATTTTAAATACCATTTTTTCAAACTGGTTAATTTCCAGATAATCTTCAAAAGTCCCAACATTTCTGTCAATTCCCATGGTCTTTCAATATCAAGATCTTCTCTATTTCTTGCCTCTGTATCACTGATTTACCTTTGCATCTGTGTGGACACAGAACTCACTCTTTGTGAAAAATGATGCACTCTGTCAAGTGTATTATCATCCAAGTAGAATATTCTGCTAATTTTGAAGGGGTGTTGGTAGAGAAGGAATCACACCTTGGAGTCCAGATGGCATCCCACCAACTCTGCATTGCTTTCTCTCTCTTTCTCCTTTGATTGACTTTCTGCCATGAGCAATAATTTTCTTACCTGGTCACACCTTCTGAAGAACAGTTCCAACCAAACGCCAGACTCCTCAAGACATCACAGTCCACCTCAAGCACTTATTAAGGTTTTCTTCCAAATAATGCAGGTCCCTTTCCAAGTGTAATACATATCCCTGTATTTTTTTAGCCTCTTAAAAACTGAATTAAAATGGAAAGTTATAAAATTACAGTGATTACCTTCTAGTTTCTCCCTCTGCTCCTCTCATCCAGTTTCCTAAAATACCTGTAATACCCCTCCTACACTGCTCTAAAGTCCAGTGCGGCTGCAAGTGGCAGTTTTGTGTTCCTAGTGAAGAGAAAAGAAATTATAATCAACTCATAGTTTTAATACTCTGTGTTAGGAACTACTGTAAGCTCTTTCTATATATTATCTTGTTTAAACTGGCTTAGAGAGCTTAAGTGTTCAAGGTCACAGGACTGTTTGGACACCCAGCTTCCTCTTACTCTAAAGCCCTTGCTCTCGACCACTGTAGCACAGTGCCACCGTAGAGTAGCTGCCCTGGGCTTTAGTCATCAGAGCGAGCCATTTAGCAAAATGTTGTTCTCCATTTCCTGCTCCTCTATAACGGAAGGAGAGGTAAACATGGAAATATGGGGGAAAGTAACAATTTTCAAAATAAAGTTGAAAAAATACTGCAGAAGTTTTATCACAAAGAGGCAATTCTGGACCATTCACAGAAGATACAAGGGCTGGGCTCCTGCAATCCCAGCTTCTCGGGAGGCTGAGGCATAGGTTCACAGGAGCCCAGCAGTTCAAGGCTGTAGTATGCTTTTGATTATGCCTGTGAATAGCCACTGCATGCCAGCCTGGGCAACATAGCGAGACCCCATCTCTTAAAAATACACAGATGAGAGAGTAAATTGGTTTATTTGCCTCGTGATAGTTTTAAATGGAGCCAGCTAGGCTGGGACAGTCTCCTTAATGAACTCTCCTCTCAAAAGTGGACCAATGCACTACCCTACCCACTTGTGCTGCAAGTTTTTAATGAGAATTTCCTTCCCACATACACATATCCCACACTTAAATATCACTCAATCAATTTGTTTTGATTTAGTTTTCATTAGCCAGGTTTACTGGGGCGGGAATGCTGGGGAAGGGGAGGGTGGTGGTTAATGGTTCTTACTGTTGTACTTTAGTCTATGAGGCAGGAATGATTCCTTTTCATAATAGCTATCAATTTCTTTTTGTTACAGAGGTTCACCAGATAGAGATGGAATTGTAAGTATTTAAATGACCATTTTTATTGAGTTTGTGCTTCAGAATATGCTATGTGTAAATTTCTTGAAGCCCCATTTTTTTTTTCTGTAGGGAAACAAATAGCTCGAATGACTTTTTATACCTCTCACTGTTGTAATTTTCTATAATAATTGCATGGGACATAAATGTAGTCTTGGTCAAGCTAGACTTATTTATAGCATTTACCTAAATCTTTGCCCCAGAGCAGGCAGGAAAACTAGTCATCCAGATAGTGGGTCACAAGCCAGGCAGTTCATGCAGGGGCTGCTCCCATCAACTGTTATTTCATTTCCAATTTAATTATGTAAAGCTCATTATGGGAGAATGTTTCTACCAACAGAGGCCACAAAGTTGTAATGAAGCTGAGATCCAAGAAAATTGAAAGAAGCTTTTCCCCTTTAGTAATTGTGCTATAGATACATTTTCTATATTAAATTCAAAAGTAGGAGATGATCTTGAAAACCACTTAAGCCTGAATTTACAGCCTGAAGGAGAAAAATCTGTCCACTGGATTTAGATTTAATAGTTAACTCTAACTCCTTGCTGGCCGCCAGAATTCTTGCTTTTTTAAAAAAGTCTGTGGTGCACGGGCTTAGATTTACTCAAGTTGTGCTTATGGGAGTCTGCACCGACTCCTAAAATGACTTCCTTCAAATCTAAATCAGATGCCTATTCAGAAGGTTCAAAAGAACAGCTGTTACTGAAAAAAAAAAAAATGGACTTACATTAGGCTTATTGGAGTGGGAACTAAAATAAACCTGATGGTTAAAAAAAAATTTTTAATCATCCTCCATAATATTATACCTAAACTGGGGTGTTAATTGCAGCTATTGCAGGAATTTTTCTTCCACACTTGACTCAAGGTTCTTAGCTTTGGGGTGCCTTTTGCTTTCATGTGGTTCTCACCATGAAATGTTAAGAAAATAGACTGAAATTGATCAGACATTGGGTAACACTATAATCAAGGCTCTATTCAGCAGGGGAAAAAAAAGACCCAGAAGACTCAGCTTCTCCTCACCTCTTGCTTCTGGCTCAGAGCCCTCTCGTTAACTCTGTCTCAGGTACTCTCTGCTTCTATGTCTCTTCTTTGCTTCCAGCTCGGTCCCCTCCCTAGGTTCTCTGGTCCCCTCCATTCTGACCTTTGCAAAGCTCTGTTAGCTACTCTGCTTTCTATCCTTGCTACTCCCAGACTGGATTGCTATTTCTTGCTTCTCTACCTTTGCCGCTCTCAGTCTTGTCCTTATTTTCTTTCTCTGAACCCCTGCTCATTGTCTCTAAGGCCCCCTTGCTGCCTTACTGTTCTCTGTGTTCCGAGCAGCATCAGTTTAAATCTCTGGTAGAATGTGCACCTCAGCACCTGGTACAGCAGCTGGCACATGGCAGGCAACGATGAGTATGGGCTGCATTAATAAACCCAGCAGTTATTCCGGGGATGCAGGCCCCCCAGGCCAGGGATTCATGCCTGAGTTCCCCGAGCCCTTCACCATTCCAAGGCATATGAATTTCTTTATTAGCAATTTTGCCCACTTTGTTACCTAATTAGAAATGCCATAAATATCACTGATCATGATTATTAGGAAAGATAAATTAGGTAATTTTGAATTCTTAGGAAATAACACAGCCCTGTTCTGGAAAAGGCTACGTTCAAAATAAATGCACTTCCTCAGAAACAGGCTTTATAGGTAATGGGAAATTACCAGCTGCTGGTTTTATAGAAATGTTCTCCAAGTTTTCCAAGTTTACCCTGGTCACTGAATTTTGGAAACCAGTGCTATCTGAGTTTCTGTTTGCTTTCAGTTCTTAGAGATATCAACCTAATTTTCTTTCAAACTCAGATTTCTTCAGGCCTTATTTCTATAGACTCAGTCCGCTTTGGCTGATACAGCTTTCAAATGATTGCCTTTTGAATGTCAGGTATTGAAACGTATGTTTTCATTAATGTAGTTCCACAAACTACAGGTGGTGGTGCACCTACCTAGTGCTTATAAACTACTTGGTAAACACAAGCTTTAATGTACTGTTGTTAATTTAATGCCAGTTTCTCAAAATCTAACGAAGCTCATCTCTGGTGGCAATGCTTCTGAGGTTTAACCTATAGAGGCTTCGCGGCAGGGCTGCATGCATGAAGGTGGGCCTTCCTCCCCACTGGTTGAATGTACCCATCACTGGCAGAGCTGTCTGTCATGGTGTCTGAGACTTCAGGCAGCTGTGTGTGACAATGCATCCTATCCCAGACACAAACTCTAATTTGTGCAGGGCAAACTAACTTTTTTCTAAGCAGTTCCAGTTTCCTTCCACACATAGACTGGGAGCATCAGGGTCACAGCCTTTGCTGTGAGAAGGTCAGTTTTGATCATCCTGAACAGGTGTGCAGGAAAGGGCACAGATTGGGAGCTGTCAGCTGTGTGTGCTGTGTGTATTGGCGACTGCAGGAAGGCTTTGACCCAAGGGAAAATATGGTGAAGCTAAACTGAACTTTTCTTACTTAGATTAGAAATACAACCATTTTTATTCAGTCTCTTCTTGTGTGTCCTTGTGTCTGTTCTCTATGTGTAAATTAAATGCTGGCTATATGAGAAATAGATCCACCTGGTTCCTAGAGCCTGGGACACATCTTCCTCCTCCTCCCATCTTCTCGTGGCCTAACCAAGCTGGCCTGCTGAATAGAGCCTCATTATGGGCCCCAAAGTCCACTCTTTGCTTAAGGAACCCTGCCAAGATTGGTAGGCCGTACGATTTGGCCTAGAGATGGTTTCTTCTATGGTATGTTTGCTGACTCCATGTAATTCTTTATATGTGTCTTGAAGAACAAGCAGATCTGTTAACCACTTTTTTCTACATGAAAACAATCAATTCCAGCAGCCCAGCCCACACGAACCACCCTACAATAGCAAAGCAGAATGTGCGCGTGAAGGAGGAAAAAAAGTTTCGGTAAGGAAACAGATTTTAGTTTAAAATTTCCAAAAGGTTGTAGAAAACAGTGAGTAAAATCCCAGTTTAAAACCTGGAAAACACTGTAGTTTCCATTTGCTCCATTTAAGAAAACTCTTAGGTATTTCCAGATTATTTCTTGAATATCTGCGGCCAATTTTTAAATTAACCGTATAGACTTTATGGACTGACATCTGAATGTACTTTTAAAGAGTAATCATAGATAAAAGACGTGTGTTTCCTGTTTCACTGATAAAGGACAGGAATTCAAACTTTAAAAAGAATCTACTGTCTATAAAGAAGCCTTTGGCTATAATAAAAATATCACCACATAAATTGAATAGTCATTTCTTAGGATAAGTACTATCTCAATAACATCAGGAATTTGGCATGATTTATAGGAACCAGTGTATTTAACCAAAGGACATTGAATCAGGGATGCTGATCCTAGCCCAAACTCTGAAGTAGCTATAACAGTGTTGTACATTATGGTAGTCAGATGTGACTAGTTATTAAAATTCAGTTCCTCAGTTGCTGTGAGTACTCCATAGCCACTTGCGGCTAGTGGCTACCATCTTGGATAGCATACAGGTAGGACATTGCCATCTTCACAGCTATTTCTATTGGGCAGTGCTGTCCTATAGAATTATTTACAAAGTGAGACAAGTCTACCTCAGTGGAGAAAAGATAACATTTAGGGAGTACATCATGTATCTTTAACACGCTTTACCCAAGGATCATTACCCGGCCATGAGCTGACCTTGAAAACCAGAGGCATTCCCAATGGAATTTGAGAACTTTGATGAATGTATAATTGAACATAATTGTCACTATATTTACCTACTGAGCCCATGATATTATCTAAGAACAGATAATATGCCTAACCAAGTAAAATACCTATGAAGACATGATTAGCATCACTGTGAGCCTCAATTATCTTTAATAATCATATTCAAGTTATAAAAGTTACTTATTCTAAGGGTAGGATTTTTTAATTTTAAAAAATACGAAAAAAAAGGAAGAGGTAAAAATCTATGTAACTACAATTCCAAGAGAAAAATCATTGTTTATATATTGGCAAATATATGTCTTTCAGTATTAAGTCTGGTTTTTAAGTGGTGTTTCCCCACTTAACTGATATTCTTCCTTGCTTCTTCTTCAAAGTTTTCCATGTGAAAGTCAATAGAGTCATTATCTTCACTATTACTAGTACTATAGTTGCACCTTTCTCAATGGTTAAACCAACAAAGAATTGGTTTTTTCTTGGGTTTGGGCCAGAAGAATTCCATCCAGGCTCTGGCCTAGCTTTAACTTGATATAATTTTCACTTGTGAAACCAAAGATATTTGTAAGAATCCACTTGCATAACTGAGACCAAATTCCTCTAATAAAGCCATGCGTGTGTGTGTGTGTGTGTGTGTGTGTGTGTGTTGAATATCTGCCAAAAATAATGTATTGTTATGATTTGTTGTTTGTTTTTAGTATTTGTTTTTAAAGTGTCCCTATGTTTGAAGAAAAAGTTTCTACAGGTTTTGCTTTCCCTTTATCTCAATCTTCCTTGGTTTTCATGGAAACTGGGAAATTTTCTCTCTGCCTAGGTCTTTAAATTTAGAAACCTTTTTTTCTACAATGTTAGATATATGTTGTCAAGAAGGAAAGAAAAACAAATATACATATATATCTGTGTGTGTATATGTATAGTATATGTATATTTATATATGTGTGTATGTGTGTATGTATGTATATATGTGTGTATGTGTATATGTACATATATGTGTATATATATGTGCATGTATATATGTATATGTGCACACACGTATATATACACACATACATACACACACAAATATATGTGTGTATATATATATATATATATGTAAACTGTTTAGCTGAACATATAAACCATCTTGGTTTTTAAGGGCTTTAGTTATGAAGATGAGATTATCATGGACACAAACTGTAGAACTTTGAAAATGTTGAACTCAATAATTTATCTAATCTCTGGTTTTGGGTAAAAATCCTAGATCATAAAATTCATGGGTTTACTTCTCTGGAAGCTACTTAGTTCTTTTGATCTCCTGTCATTGTAAATCAAATGTCTGTATTGAACATGTTTATTATACATGCTTTCTAAGAAAAAGTGGAGCATTTTGCAAAGAAGTCACAAACAAACAGGCTGGTGAAGAGGGAATTTAAAGAGAAAGTAAACATGAGAAACAGAAAATAGGAGCCCTGTTTATTCTCAAGTGAAATAAGAATTTTTAAGTGGCAAATTATATAATGGACCAGTTTTCAATAGTGGCTTCATAAGGTATACGTAGGCAGAGTTGATATGACCTTTGAACGAAGGTTTTACAAAGACCTTTGTTCAAAGCAGAAAAAATATCACTGAAGCACTAATTCAACAAAGGCAATTCTATGGGAAGATTAAAATGACGCAGTCTGCATACAAATAATCTATGTCAGGAGTGGGACAAAGAGGGAGATGATCACAGACCTTATGTCCCTGGATGCTGATCTATGGAGGCATGGGCCAGTTCTTATATTTGTAAATTCGAGTGCAGTGGTAGTATATTGGAAGACAGAGGGGATGAACACATTAGCTATTTCTTGTGCACTATTTACCTTTGCCAAAGCCCTGCTAGTCCATAGAATGCCCAGTCAACATTCACTGTTACTCAATGATGATGGTTATTCTGGGTTATCTAGTGATCCTATGTGCACACATAAAAAGCTTATTTCTCCACCTATTTGTCAAATTGGGTATTAGTTGTTTACATTGCAGTTCAAGTGACCTTTATTTGTGATTGCAAAATTAGAGGTCCTGTGTTCAAGCCTCATGCATCACCATTTGATGTGTGCTGTTCTGAGATCTGCTATGCCTAGTGACATGCCCTTGCTCCATGTGCTAAATATAAGAATGTCGTTGGATGGACCCTCCATTACCAACCTGATTTGTGTTTTTGTCATTTGCTCACAAGACATAGAAAATCTTGGTAATTTCTATTTGGGTGATGCCACATCCTTACTCAAGTGCTTGTGACTATGTGTCATGGTTGTACTAAGGGACAAAGAAAACTTTAAGATAATCAGAAGAGAGTAGTACTGACATCCAGTCAGCTTGCAATGATGTGTGCTCATGAAGGCACAGATCGCACAGATGACAAAAAATCCACCATTAATCCTCAAATTCTATTTTAAAAATTTGATAAGAAAAACCATTTTAAAAAAGATTATTTTTAATAACTAGGAGCTGAATGAACTGATTTGGAGCTGACTTCCTCTATATTTTATCAAGCGGGTAGTTACAGAAAAATTGAGTCAGTGCTAAAAATGCTAAAAGATTAGTTAATGACTTGGATGAGTACTCTTTGGATATGTTAGAACTAATTGTATAATAATGGCAGCATGGAAGTAAAAATGTTTCCATTTAATATACTTATACACATGGTTATATCCCCTGTAGGTTTAGAGGATTAAATTATAATGAAGGTGCTGCTAATTCTTCAGTAACTGAATAAAATTTGAACAGTCCATCATTAACATCCCTGTACCTTGGTATCCTATAATCTTTTGTGAAATAAGCACGTAGGCCCTTTTCTTCAGTGTCACGGCAGCTAGATTTACCATTCCATTCCACCATTGTGGCTCCTTAATAAGCTGCTCTAATATGTCTTTCCAGTGCTGGATTTTGGTAGCTCTTGCTAAATGCAGATAAGAGTTCAATGTTCTTTGTTCCTTTGTTTTTATTCAAATATTTTCCTTCTAAATTCATTTTCAAATTTATTACAGAAGAAAAGCAATGGGGCACCAAATGGATTTTATGCGGAAATTGATTGGGAAAGATATGTGAGTATCAGAAGATTGTTTCTCTGTATCAAGTATTTTACACTTTAAAAATGAGTTGAGACATTCTTATAAGAGGACTTAGAAATAAGTAAAATGCTCTCCATGTCATTAGGAAGTGTCTGGCATGTTTAGGATGGGGCAAAGGGAAATGAAGTCTGTCAGAACTGGGTTCAAGCTCTAGCCCAAGCTTGTCTAATATTATGAGGTTTCTTGCAATTTATTTATTTTAGCTAATCTGCTATTGTCAATGTTAGCATATTTTATGTGTGGCCCAAGACAATTCTTCTTCTTCCAATGTGGCCCAGGGAAGCCAAAAGATTGGACACCCCTGATCTTTTTTTTACAATTTATCTATTATACTTTAAGATCTGGAGTACATGTGCAGGTCGTGCAGGTTTGTTAAATAGGTATACACGTGCCATGGTGGTGGTTTGCTGCATCCATCGCCCTGTCATCTACATTAGGTATTTCTCCTAATGCTATCCCTCCCCAATTCCCCAACCCTCTGTCATTCCTTCTCTAGCCCCTCACCCTCCAGGCCCTGGTGTGTGATGTTTCCTTCTCTGTGTCGGTGTGTTTTCATTGTTCAACACCCACTTATGAATGAGAACATGTGGTGTTTGCTTTTCTTTTCTTGTGGACACCCCTGATCTAGCCCTATAGATATCAGCTGTGTGTGGCCTTCAAATTGTTATTTACTGGGTAGCAAAAAAGAAGTCAATAGTTACCTTGTGTTATTGTTGCAAGGATTCAATGAGCTAATTGTTTGCAGAACATTTTAGTAACCTGCTAGCCTGTAGTATTTGTTCAAAAAATGTTTTTCTAATATTAACTCAGGGTGTTTCAGCCCTGGTTCTATTTCTTAGAAACTTTGAGAATAGAGGCAAGTCAACTTGATTTTGGCAGGAAAGGACTCAAGGAGGATGTGACCTCTGAGCAAAGGCCTAACATATACATAGAGGCTAACTGGCTGAACGTTTGGGGGAAGAGAATTGCAGGCAGAGGGAACAGCATCGATGAGGTCACTGAAATGAGACAGCGCTTGCAGCACCCAAATCACAAACATTGAGAAGGAGAGAACATGCAGCTGAGAGGGGATCAATGGAAGGCAATTACAGACATGAGGCTAGAGAGAGGGGCAGGAGCCAGCCCTGCTGGGCCTTATTGGCTACACAGAGTCACTTGGCTTTTATTCTAAATGCAGTAAGAAGCCAGGGACACATTTTAGCAGGCAATAACCTTGATACACTTGTAAAAAACAAAAAGCAACTCTGAGAACCAAAGAAGGAGCACAAGAGGAATAACACAGTAAGTGCTCAAAAAAATGGTGAGTTTCAGATATAGAAATAAAAATACTGTATGATCTTGCTTATATGCAGAATCTTTAAAAAAAAAAAAAAGTCAAATATGGGAGGCTGAAGCAGGAGAATTGCTTGAACCCAGAAGGCAGAGGTTGCAGTGAGCTAAGATTGCACCACTGTACTCCAGCCTGGGCAACACAGCAAGACTGTCTCAAAAAACAAAGAAAAGAAGTCAAATACATAGAAACGGACTAGAACAGTAGTCAGCAGGGGCAGAAAGAAAGAAGAAATGAAAGAAGTAAGTCAAAGAGTACAAATTTGCAGTGAGGTGAGATGAAGTCTAGATATCTAATGTAGTAAAAATTTGCTAAGAGTTTAGGTGCTCTAATCATACACACACACATTAGAAGGGTTCCTATGGAATGTAACAGAAATGTAAATTTAACTGTAGTAGTCATTTTACTGTGCATGTGCATATCAAAACATGTTGTACACCTTAAATATAGACAATAAAAATCCATTTTTAATGGGCCTTTTTCCATGGTATATAGACCCACTTTTCTCTCCATGGTTATGGCATTTTTACTGCTTTATTAACTCCCAAAAGTAACTGTCCAATTCTGCCTTCTCTCACTGGCAGACCTATCACCTCAGCTTCAACAGGGCCACCTACAAATGCTTCGTTTTCCTCCCCTCTAGGACATAGGGTATAGTCTGAAACGCCAGGGGTCAGAACCTAGGTCTGACATTTGCTAGGTATGTTTCCTTGGGAAATGGCATCTGATTTCTCTTATTTTCTTTCTTGATAAATGGGATAATTCTTTTCACATATGCTTTTTAAGTGGTTCAGTGAGGTAAAGTATGGGTCACAATGCTTTCCATGTAATAAGGATCCAAATCTGATCATTCTAATCCCAACAATGCAAACTGCCTTTTTATGTTTTCTGCTTCTTTCCAAAAAATATTGGTTGTCTGCTGTTCAGAATTAGCTCAACTGGGAGTACCAGCACTCTCCCACAATTTGAGTGTAGAAATATTGGAGTCCTCTTGAACCTTCCCTCTGCCTTTTTCCTATGACTGATCTGTTACCAAGAATCAATAATCCATCCTTTCAAATGTCCTCAGTTCATCCCAACCCACCAATAACTTTATCCATATTCTTAGTACCTCTTTCCTGAATTGATGCACATATTTTGAATTTGTTTTTCTTTCTCCAGTTCTGCCCCAAGGCTATCCTGGAACATACTTCCAAAACTCCTTAAGATTTTGCTTTCAGCATGTCCCACCCTAGCTGAGAAGTTGCAGTAGCTACCTCAAGTCCAAACTCTTCCCCTGGCATATTGGCTCTCATCGTCTCATTTCCCCATCTCCCACTGTGCAGCTTCTTCTCTGGCCACGTTATCGTTGCTATTACCCCATCTGTCTCCCCATCTGAGTCACCCAGGGTCCATTCCCATTTTGGTGTGTCTGAATAGGCTCTTCCTTACCACCTAGAAGGAGCTCCCACTCTGCCTTCTCCTGTCTGTCCTGAAAGATGCGTAAAGACCGCTCTGATTTTTTTAAACCTCACTAGTTTCCTTTTCTTTGAACCCCGTCTAACACAGGTGTTTTGTGTTTCGTATTTTCTTTTTAATTTTTCCCTACCAAAATACATTTCAATTTCCCTGAGGACAGATAATTTCCATTTCTTACACCCATGTTGCTTAGCACAGTCCTTGGCTTACAGGAAATGCATGTTAAATTCCGTTTGAATGCTTTCTTTCATTGACAGTTGATTCCTCCTCCTCATTTATTTTCCCAGTAGGAGGACTCTCCAAGTATCCTTGAGTAAATATCTAAACATATTGCTCAGAATTCATTTCAGAAGTTAAAAGCTTCATCTCCTAAAAGAAAAGACTTTTCTATATCCTTAAATAGAAGACTCTAGAAAAAAAATAATTTCTTGATCACTGTTAGGATAATAATTACTTAATGTGCACTCGTGTTTTATAGAACTCACCTGAGCTGGATGAAGAAGGCTACAGCATCAGACCCGAGGAACCCGGCTATATCCTTTCTTTATTTTTTTTATTTTAATTTTCATTTACTCTCAGGAAACAGTAAGATAAATTCAGATTTCACACAGGTAATGAAATAACCTAATCTTCACAAGTCCTGCTATTCCTAATATTGGAGATGAATAAACAGCACTGAGAACAGCCGGAGCGCTAGCAAGCAGACATTTTGCCTTAATCTATTCATAGAAAAGAGAGAGGAGAAAGAGAAAAATGTGCTAAAAAACAGTTGTTGAAATGGTGGGTATTGGGCTGTCTGCTAAAACCTGATATGACTGTCATTTACAGTGACTAGAAAATAGCTCTGTCTTCTCCCTACAATTCATCTCTGGGCAAAGCATGTCACACCGATGCATTTAAAACTCATCGCGGATCACCCATAAAGCAGCCTTCCTCTCTCTATAGCTGAGTAAGCTTACATGTGCCTGTCTGTGTGTGCTGAGTGTGACACAACCAATGGCCAACTACAGCAAAAATGTAGCATATTATAACCATTGCTTCTTGAAAATCACCATCCTTGATCATGTTCTGAGGAAGGGTCAATAAATTCTAACCCTTTCCTCTTTTATTTTTCTATGCTTTGCTTTGATTTTCTAAGGACACTTTTACTGTCTCTGTGTGCAACCACTCTTGCCTCAGAGTCGTTGTCTCCCAGTAAAAGAAAGAGTTATGTATCTTTAACTGTGTTCTACCTACCAAAGGAAAGCACTTTTATTCTTCGAGTGAATCGGAAGAGGAAGAAGAATCACATAAGAAATTTAATATCAAGATTAAACCATTGCAATCTAAAGACATTCTTAAGAATGCTGCAACTGTAGATGAATTGAAGGCATCAATAGGCAACATCGCACTTTCCCCATCACCAGTGGTGAGTGTTTTGTGTGTGCATGAAGCTTTGGTGAGGCTGAGCAGAGCTATGTTCTGCCTATATGCAGTAAGTCGATCAGAAACTCCTTAAACTGAAGCCTGTATATGGTCACAATTTCATGAATTCTATAAACCTTAAGAAGCTCATTCTAGCTGGAGAAAGTTGTACTTATTTTATACTGCAGTCTTGTGCTTTTCAAAATGGTGAAAAGGTGTGGATCCACATTTTCTTTTGACTTACTTTACTGCAAGAATTTTATAAAGAAAAAAAAAGTTTATCCAGACTTATCTCTGATGCAGACTTAGCAACTAGAAATAACATGAAGTTCACAAATTTGCTGAGAGTAATTTTCAAAAACACGTCTTCATTTTCTTTTTTATGATACACCACATGAAAATACATGGAAGGAAATTGTTCTTTTTTTCATTGCTGTGCTCTAAAACCAAAAATTAATCAAAATCATAGTCTAAATCGATACTGAAACTCATATCCTTCATTTTATTGTATTATCAAGTTGACTTAAATCATCTCACCTTTAAGGTACCTCAGATATGAGTGTGGTATGGTTTATATTATTCAAATAGGTATTTTTCTATAGACAAACTAAGGCTTCATGGGGGGAAAAAGAGGTATTTTTGCAATATTTGCACTTCCATTCCCCAATTCCCAGCTACTAAATTTCTTTAGTTGCTGAATTCTGAGTTCCAGCATCTACAGTCCTTTCTCTGTGTTTGATAAATGCCACCATTGTTTTCTAAAAATAGTTCTGAGCAAAGATGAAGGCTCTCAAACTGGCAGCTAATATGTTCTTGGCATCTTCTTTAGAGAGATGTGATCTCCGTATAGCATTCCCCCGAACAGGGTAGTTAATAATTGCTGAACCATTTTTGAGATGCTTCAGGAAACACCTCAGCTAACCTTTCTAAATGACTTGTAATCATCTATCTTTTGAGAATAAACCTTTGACTCTCTGGGATGAAAAATGTCTATAATGATGCTTTCTTTAGTACTGCTTTTAATGGACTTGATCGCTACTGTTGGTGACAACCAAAATGATTGCTAAGAGTAACTAACCACAGCAAATAATATTTAAGGTAATTTTTAATCATATGCTCCCCTGCTACTTTAAGATATCTTCTTGAAAAGAGAAGCATGAAATATATTAGCTTTTCTTTCCCTTCTGCAATGGAAGGGGCAGATTTTAAAGTTACATATCGACCTGTGAGTTTGAGTAACGGCGGTATTTTAAATGCATACTCTTTCACTTTTCAGTGGCATCTTTCAAACTATTTTTTACTTACTGAACAATCTTTTTAACTAAAAATCTCCTTAAATGTCTAAAACCAGTTTATGGCCATGTCTGTGCAGTTTATTTTACTCACTTCTCTGAGTTTATTCTCTGTGTAATAAACTGGCCCTTTGGAAGCTACCTGGGGTAAGTAAAAGAAGGCAAGTTCAGAGAATTAAGTGAACAAATTTATGTGAAAGCAAATGTACTGGAACAGTCCCAGAAACATAGTAGATGTTTGCTGGAATCTAGCTGAATCCAGAAAAGAAGAGATTCCCTCTGTTGAGTAGAATATGTAGGCCTAAGTTATCTGGTAGCTATTCCTCCAACCAGATATGTTGCTGAGATGCAGCAAAAAGTGGTGGTTTACTCTGAGCTCTTCTCAACATCTGTTTTTAAAGTAAAATATTGACATGATGTGGTTAAGATTCTGGTGAAAAAGTGTTAAGGGAAGCAGAGTGAAAACTAGGTGGAAACACCCAGAGACAGTGACCTCAGAGTTATTCTGTTTCTGCAAACCAGCAATGCCACAGATCAGGGGACACTCAGCTCCCCCTCCGACCACCCACACCTCCAGCTTGTTCCCTGTTATGTGAGAATCTGGATCTTTGATTTCTGTGATTCCTAAATAGTTATTATTTTTGATATTTGGTGTAGAAGAATGAGCTGTTATTATTACTTTAGGAAAAGATGAGCATGTTTCTGGATATACGTAAGTCTAAAGACAGAATTGTAACTGAAAACATATTCTTGGTTTTAGAATCCTTGCCCTCTCCTAAATAACCCATGTCTAGATAGATAGATAGATAGATAGATAGATAGATAGATAGATAGGTAGCTAGATAGATTTTTTTTAAGATGGAGTCTGGCTCTCTTGCTCAGGCTAGAGTGCAATGGCGTGATCTTAGCTCACTGCAACCTCAACCTCCCAGGTTCAAGAGATTTCTCCTGCCTCAGCCTCTTAAGTAGCTGGGATTATAGGCACACGCTACCACACCTGGCTAATTTTTGTGTTTTTAGTAGTGACAGGGTTTCACCATGTCAGTCAGGCTGGTCTTGAACTCCTGACCTTAGGTAATCCACCCACCTCAGCCTCCCAAAGTGCTGGGATTACAGGCATGAACCACCATGCCCGGGCATGTACATATATTTTATAAATGACATATGCAGCACTTCATCTTCAGAACCAGATACCTAACCTGAAATTCAGCTGGTGCCATGATAAAAATGGCAATGATTTTGGACTTTACATGTTTCCAGGTAAAAGAGCAGACAATTATACGTCTGTACTTTCTTTAGGTACTTAAAAAGAAATAGGGTCTACACAAGTTAATCATATATCAGAATATTTCATTTAAGCTGTGGTTCTTATACTACAAAAGCATCAATCATTACATTAATAGAAATAGGGCAAATTTCAAATAATAAACTATTCATAGAAACGGTTTACATTGGACTTCAGATTTCTGTTTCTTTTGAAGTTTTTAAGATAAAGTTGTGCCTCAGTTATTCTTTTCATTTATTTATTAATACATATCCATGAACTATAACCAATTTGATCTCCTTTATGATGAATTGGTTTTATTTTACTTGAATAGTTTGCAGTCAAATTAATGAATGAAAGAAAATGGGAGGAATGTATGAATCATATATCTATGTGTATATATAATATAAACTTATCTTAAAATTACTTCTCAAGACAATGTCAGCTGCAAGACAAATCAAGATTTTAATTGCTGGCGACAATCCTACTGTATAGTTAGACAAACATAATTTCAGTCCAGATCTTGCCTTAGCCCTTGATTTTTATATAGAAATAAAATATAATGTGGGCCAGGACAAGGCAGAGCATCAGAAAGGAAGAAAGAAAATGCAGGATTTAACTCACAGGTAAAGGATATTAATTCTTATTCTTATCATATTCCAGTCTTCTGATAAGATACCATGCTTATAGGGCAAAAATGAACATCGCCCCGGTCTGAGATGTTGATTTGGCATCTGTATACATTAGAATATTTGTTAAGCTGTTTTATCAGAGATCGAAATCATAATGGCTTAAACAAAATAGGTGGTTTCTTTCTCTCCCACATAAAAGTCAAAGCTGATAGGCAGTCCAGAGATAAAAGAGTCTTACTCCAGAGGTCACTCAAAAACCCAGGAATTTTTTGCATGATTGCTTCCCCTTTCCTAGAGTGCCATTGCTGCCTTACCACCAGCAAGTACTGCTGTGTACCAGCCTTGGGATGGGCAAAAAAGAAATAAAAAGCAAGAAAACAAAAATGCATGCATCATTACCACCCAGATCCCACTACCATAATTTAATCACATGGACTCATTTGCTGCAAGAGAATCTGGGAAATGTACTGTTTTTCTAGATAGACATGTAGGCCGCTAACATTTGGGATTTTATTACTAAAAGACAAAGGAACAAATGGCTATTGGTGGACATTGACAGTTTCTGCCACTATGTTCTGAATTATATTGTATCTGCATCTTAAGGTTAGAATTAAGTAATCTCAGATTATTTCAGGGAGTTCATTAGGAAATGGGATTTCTTCCCATATATGTTTAAAATTATTCCCAGTACCTATTGAATCCAGAATGTTATATAATAATTTTCTAATCACTAATTTATAAACGCTAGTGATACTGTGCTGTGTGTTAGCTATCAGAAACACTCCAACACTCCAATAAAACAGTAGTGAACAGAAACACTTCAACAACAGTAATGTCCCTGTGTCTTACACAGGTTCACTGCTTTCTGAAGGCAGGCTGTTCCATTGTTGAAAGACAAGTCTTCCTTTTATCAAACCAAATATGTAATTTTGTCCTTGATTATAGTTGTACTCTTTAAAGGATAAACAAAGGGCGAGGCCCTTTCTTTTACTGGTTTTCCATGAAGCAGAATGACTCGAACTCCAAGTTTAGTGTGTAGGAAGTTTAGTAAGGAGTGACCTTGGACCTAATACCTGTGGTGTAGGGTGGGCAGAGGCAGAAGCTAAGCTGATCCCAGGGAAACTCTGGAACTGCTAGGAGCCTTCAGAGTTCATGTGAGTTTGGCTAAGATGAATAACCTTGATACTGCTCAATCCATCTGTGCTCTGATGTGGGCCACACTAGGAAGGGGCATGCCCTTGGTTTAGCTAGCTCTCTGGAGCTGAGGAAGATCCTGAGGTGCTGACCCTCGAAGGCTGCCAATAGCACTCCCAGCAGCTGGTTGCAAGAAACCCTTCTGAAGATTCTTCACGGCACATTTTGGTGTCCGTCCCAAATTCCCTGTTCTTGACGTAAGGCCTAGTATATCATTGCCATTCAATTAATGCTTTCGAATGAGTGAGTGAGTGAGTGGTGAGTGAGTGAACAAATATGTGAATGGGACCAGGCCAAAAACAGAGAACTGGCAAGTCACCACCCTCCAGTTTTATAGCTATCCACTGATAACACCCTTCTGCCTCCTGTGTTCACCACATAATATAATAATTCTCCTAACTGTGGCACATATTTTCATTCATTTTTTTTCAAAACAAGACTGAATTTGAGACACTTGGGGTGTCTACAAACTTGCCTGGATCTACCAGGCCAGAAGCCCTATCAGAGAGAATGATAGGTTCAGTTTGCCCTGTTGCTTTGGGCTGGCATCTAGAGTTATCACCTTCTTTTCCAAGTGCTTTCTGGCCATCTGTTTAAATATCTTGTTCTAGAATTCTGGATT